GTTCTCATGCTCTTTCCCTCAGCGGTTTCTATCCCTCCGTGTGTCTAAGTTAAAACAAAAGCAATGATGCAAAGTCTTTATCTCTTGCCAAGAGAGACAAACATATTAATATAGATAGATAGATATTGATGAAAAGAAACGGTTTCGGCTCGGCATCTTATGTTATGTGATGATGCACATCACACCGGTGAAAATTAAAAGTCAAGTGAAGAAATAAATGATAGACAGCTTAGGAACTTCTGATGCTAAATGAATATGGTGACAGATGCCATGCATTGGAGCAACACCATTTTGTTAGGTAACTCTCTGTGTCACCCTACCACTGGTTTCTCCTAGTTTGTCACCATTGCTTGTTATGTTGTATTACATTTGTGATATATAATAATAATAGTAGCGATAATATGCGTTTTCCTAACAGTTGGGTTGGGATATTGATATTTGGAGCCAGTTAAGCTTTGTATTTCCTGAGTGAGATCTAATTTATATTTTAGGATAAATTTGCTTTTACACGTTTTTGTTAATTAGTAATGTATAGCATCTGGTTGCTGTTATTTTGAATTTTAGGTGCTATATCTGTTTACGTTTTTAATTTCTCTTATAATACTTGACAAAATAAATTGTGTTTAATTTATAAAGGCTCATGAGATAAGACAAACAAAAAAAAATGAAAAAAGACAAGATAAAAGTTTAAATTTGTGCTACTAAATAAAGCATAGAACAACTTTTCTCCTAAGTATACAATCACTTACAATCATGATATTGTGTTAATTTTACCTTTGATTCTTATTATCGTCATCCAACATCACCATATACCATTGTCGTTAATTACTATCGTGCAATCAACTATCATTGTTATTTGTTGTCACTCATCATTACCTTATTATTATTATTATTATTATTTCTATTATTAATGTTATTATCGCAATTTTTGTCATTGTCATTTTCATTAAAATAATAATAATTTATTAAATAATTAATATTAAAAATGATATTATAATAAATTTAATATTATTTTGTTTGTGTTATCCATTATCCACTGAGCAATACACAAAACAAAAAATTGTCAAGTAATTTAAACATTTGTCTTAAACAAATACATCCTTAATATCTCAATTATGAAAATATATATATATATATATATATATATATATATATATATATATATTTAATACATGTAAATATATATTATTAGATAATATATTTAGAAAAATCTAAATTATTTAAAATTTGATATGCATATAATTATCATGAGTATAATATCATCAAATACAATAGTTGAATTGATAAAATTTACATTTTATAAAAAATTGTTAAAGGTATCATTTAATTAATATAACATTATGATATAAAACTTTATTAAACTTTTTTACTTATGTAGTGTCTAACATTTTTAGAGCAAATACCACATTTGTTGATTCCAAGTCAAAAGCAGGATAGTTTTCTTAAGTCTTCAACTGTTTTTTGAAGTACATAGGATACAACCTTTCTGTTTGCATCACAAATACTAACCTTTGATAAGAAGTATCATAATAAACTTCAAAAGGCTCATTGGAGTCAAACAACACCGATACTAACAAGTTAATTCACTACAAGAAAAATGATTATTATCTACGGAATATTACTACGGAATTTTTTCCGTAGATAATGTTTAATTATCTACGGAATTTTTTCTGTAGATAATTTTTAGTTATCTACGGAATATTACCTACGGAATTATTTTCGTAGATAATATTTAGTTATCTACGAATTTTTCCGTAGATAATTTATCTACGGAAATTTCCATAGATAACTTCACCCATAGATAAATTTCGTAGGTAAAACATTTTATTTGAAATATCAATTAACATATTTTATTATCGTTTCATTTTAATTTATTTTAAAATAATTAAAATATTTAATTTAGCATCATTAAAAAATTAATCATTATAAGATTTAATTTTTTTAAAATATTCAACTCACAAGTCCCGATCCACACAAAAATTGATCTTTTCTAGTTAATTAAGGTCAAAGATATCACTACTCTAGAGAATCTCTCAATGAGTTGAATGAGTTACCTAAGAGTATCTACAATGGGAGTTGCTTAAGCAACTCCCAACTACTTTAAATGGGTCCTACTGTGCCACGTCACTTATAAGCAACTCATATTATATTTTTATAATTTTTACTCCAATAGAAATTGCTTATAAGCACCCCTACTTTTTTACAACTTATACTACATATTTTGACACCTCATACTATACTTTTTCCAAATTCTCTGTCCATGTTCCGCCTTGGATCAAATCAACCAATCACACTTCTCCATTTCAATTTTCAAATTGCTATAAGCACTGTTGCTTGGAGAAGTAACAAAGCTAAAAAATTTAGAACTTGGCTTGCCACGTAAGATGACTCCAATGAAAATTTCTTATAAGCACTGTTGCTTATTTTTAAGATACACAACAAGCACCCTCATTGGAGGTGCTCTAATGAATTAATTTGCTAAAAATAGGAATGATCTTCATTAGTTGTCATATTATTACAATGCTTAATGCAAGCTGTTTTATCAATCATGCAAGGGATTGGTGGATAACGAAAGCGCTTGGAAACTAAATGTCGAGGAGTCAATATTTTAGGAATTTTATTTAATAACTTTAACAAGTTAGATGGGTAGAATTATATAATTAATCATATAATTTTCATCGGGAAGAATATGGGGAAGTTTACTCTCAACTTCTTTTTGCATTGATATTACCTTTATTCTTAAATTTTAGTTATCAAAATCATTTGAAAAACCCAGAATTGATCATTGTTAATATAAATGCGCATGTTAATTTTTTTTACTTAGTAAATTTTTTACTTAGCATAAGATTAAAAGAAAAAGGACATAGAAAGGAATATGATAAATCTAAGAGGTGTTAGTATATAATATACTTTAATTTATGTGTGTGAGACTCATGAGTCTTTCTTCCCCTCTTTTCTCCATTTCATTTCTTTCCCAAAAACTCATTCACTTCATTTGTGATTCTTAAGTTTGATGTGAAGGAAGACTCCCGTTCCATTTCTCTTCTTCTCCTTCTCCCTTCTCGTTAGCTTGGAGTCAGATTTTTCTTCCTTTCCGAGGTAAGGAGAGCTAGAAATCTTGAATTTTTATGAATTGTGGGGTTGTTGATTGAGTTGAGAACTCAAAATTGGTGTGAATTATGAAAATCTTAGTTGGGAAAAGGGATTTGAAGTTATTTGCATGTGAAAGCTGAAACCTTGTTGTTCTTGATGATCTCTTTGCAATCTTAATGCATGCATGTGGTATTTCTTGGGGTTTCTGGGTTGTATGAAAAAAATGAGTAGAGAATATGAAGGTAGATTATATTTAGAGGTAAAATTGATGGATTATAGGTGAAAAACGAAGGTAGAAAGCCATGAAAGTGAAGAAAGCTCTACACTTAGTGCTGGAGCGCTAAACTAGCGCTGCAAATGTGAGAGAAAACAGGGAGGTAGAGATCTAGTGCTGCAACTCCAAGTTGGGCACTACAGCTTCGGGAGAAAACGAAGTTGGCAGAAAGCCAAAGCTAGAGTTCTGAAGTGAGCGTTGGCACGCCAAGGGTAAATGACCAAATTTGGTCTTGAGATCTTCATGAAGTTGTAACCTTGGATGTTAGCTTTCAAATGACGCTGGAATAACCCAAAAAGGAGGTCTAAAACCCCAGTTATGACCTTTTTAGTGAAACTGTCAGGATTTAGGCTAATTGTTACGATTTCTACATTTTTTTAATAAGGTAGATGATGAAATTAAGACTTAATGTCTTCATGAGAGTTATAGGAAATCTTCATGAAAGTTATAACCTTGGATGTTAGCTTTCAAATGACGCTGAAATAACCCAAAAAGGAGGTCTAAAACTCCAGTTATGACCTTTTTAGTGAAACTGTCAGGATTTAGGCTAATTGTTACGATTTTTACATTTTTTTAATAAGGTAGATGATGGAATTAGGACTTAATGTCTTCATGAGAGTTATAGGAAATCTTCTTATCTTTCATATGAGATAAGGATGAACATGATAAGAGTAGTATAACTTCATATATGATGTTTTATATGAAGGTTGTCATTTCACAATAAGTGATTTGGTTAAATTAAAAGTTGTTTTGGGTGCTTAAGTTGATTTATGTTGTTTATGTGTGTAAGTTGGCATAACAGATGAGTTGTAAACATCTTGGTTGAGTTGTATTATTTGTTGAATGTGTTTATGTTGTTGGAGTTGTTCTATAAGTTGCATGTTGTTTCATATGTGGAATGTTGATGTGTTGTTGAAGCATGTTGAGATAGAGTTGTAAGATGTGAGATGCATGTTGTAACTGAGTTGTGCAATTGTGTAGATGTGTAGAGTTGATATATAAGTTGTGCTGAAAAATAGTGTTGTTAAACTGACTGTGTTGTTGAGTTGTGAGTTGATTGAACAATTGTATTATTAAACCGTGTTGATTAGAACTGTGTTGTTGTGTTGTGTTGTGTTGTGTTGATGAGATGTGTTGACCACTTAGGACTAGAGGAGATGTTTTCAAAAATTCCTCATCCTATTGTGTGGATTAAGAGTGTTATGGTGCTCTGAGAATCCAATTTGTTGAAAAACTCTCTTTAGGAAGTTGTCCCTTGAAGTGGATGCTATATATGTTGTTCTCCTCTAAGACTTAGTTGGTATCGTGTGTGGACAAGGTCGAGGTAGACGTCTATAAAGTGACCACAGTATAGGGGTCAGGTCGAGCTATATTAATTACAAGCGGCCAATTTGAGTAAAGTACGAAGTCAGGAACTTAGTTCCTAATCAAGTATCAAAGAGTTGTAGTATTTGGAGGATAGTCGGTAGGCTAATCCCATAGGTGTGGCTTAGTTAAGTTAGCTAATGTCATGGTAGACCTATACCTAGTTGTTATATCTTGACATAGTACTACATTTTCTTGTTTAAGTGACAAAGTTTGAGAAACTTTTATCGTGTTGTGAATTGATATCCAATTTACTATTGATATAGAAAGCCAAAAAGATCGATGTGTTGTCGGTTCGGTAAGACTTAACTACTTATACTGCTCACCCTATGTTGTAGGAGATCTCTGAATTGAAATGCGTGACGACGTATATGTGTTGATATGAGCTGTAATGTGATTGAGATGTGTTGTATATGTGTTGTTTGTTGTTTTTTGTTTGTGTGGGATGTGAAGATGATTATAAAGTTGTCATGTTGCATATATATATATATGTGAGTTGCTTATTTTACCTAATTTACCCTTATATGTTTTTATGTGATTTAGATTGTGATGATCATATGTTATATGAGAACAAGACAAGAATAAGTTGGATGATAGTTGATGGAGGCCACAGGAGACGCTTAGAGTTGATTTCTTTTTGTAGACTACCCTAGGTGGTAGAATATTTTGTATTTAGTTGTTGATGCTTTTTATTGCTTGCTTAGCAACTTGTGTTGTATTTATATAGATGTTCATGGTTGCGAGCTAAGCGACCTCAGTTATATATATTTATTTTATACTATTCTAGTATATATTTCAATTGTTTTAATTGTAGTTATGCAGTATGATGACCATGACGAGTTGTTACAACGTGTCATTGAGATCCCAATATTTGGGATCTCCTTGGCTATCGTGATGCCTTTGTGTGTCTTTTCTAAAAAATAGTTATGTCAAGCATTTTTCGGTCTAGCGGATAAAGCTAACTATTAGTTTTACAACATGGTCATGTAGATTTATGCATTGTAATTATCAACACTTAATTTCGTAGCATTCCCATATTTTAGTTAAAAAGCAATGCATTTCTCATATCTCTTCCCGGATCTTTAACCCCCCTATTTCATCCAGCTCTGTTTCTTTAGAATACTATATAATAAATGTTACATATAATGACATACAAAAAGTGTCACTATAGGTACAATATATGTAGGTATATGTCTATTTGACATATAGTTACGCATAATTTTAGTGTTGATTTTGGATGAGATTTAACAACATATTTTGTGTGTCACTATAGTCTATATTCACACTTTTTAATAATATATCAACATATATTGTAGTTATTGTATAACTAAAAGTAATTTTTAGTGATATGTATAGTATCACTATAGGGTGTGTGTCATTATATGGCAATTTTGTTGTAGTAGAAGCAATATTTACATTAGTTTCATATTTATGTATCGATACATTAAGAAGATAAAGAAACAATCCTACCTTTAAACTAGTACACTTTCAGTTTCTACAGACTTTTCAATGTCAAAAACTCTAGTTTTGGAATTTGTATGAGAAAAAGATGGGACTACTGCAGCTGGTGATTGCCCCGCAGGGATTAAATCAATGATGTCTGATTCTTCTGTATCTGCTACATTTGGTTGTTGAGTTATTAGCATTGTCTCTTTACTTTTGCCCCACAAAAAGGAGTATAATCCAACAATGATAAAAACCACACCCAGCATCCTGCATGCAGATATTAGATTAGTACTTTTTGTACATGTATCACAAGGAAATGCATAAGCTAGCTACATTATTATTGTCTCTTTGGAACATTGAAAATTAACATATGTCTAGAAGGAAATGAATTCGCACGTTCCAACGCTTAATGGTTCTCCAAGTAGGATAGCTTCTGAAAATGCCACAAAAATAAGAGCCAGAGGATTGAACATTGGAGGGTAACTAGGTCCTTTGATTGTAATTGCCCAAGATATTATGCAGAACGCGGCAGCAGTAGTCAATGCTCCCTACACAAATAAACTCAACTTGTTAGCAATCACTTCAGTGTGTTCATGCTCCTCATTCATAGTTCAATGTCAAAGAAAATCATAGTGATGACTTTCAAATTTAGAAACCAAGCTGCATCATGATTCATGATTTTTATCCATTTCATATGATCGTAATTTCCTAGCAATTAAATGTTTTGGAATTTGCCTTTGGGAGACTAATTAGTCTTTCAGACCTTAGAATGAAATTTGAGAGGAAATAATTGATATAATAGTACTAAAGAAAATTAAACAAATTGATGCTAAATCTAAGAGAAATTACTTTAAAAGCATTAAGAGTATCTTACTGAGTACACTATAGTGACCAGTTGTAGATTCCATTCTAATTTCCAAGAAGCTTTACTGGAATCTATGCAAACGCCTATTATTGCTGCTTGAATTGCTGCCAAAATGCATGATAACATTGTTCCCCAGTACCTCAATGGAAATACTTTCATCAATCTGACCTGAATAAATTGAAAACTTAGGATTACTTGAAACACCTTATTAGATATAGATATGATATAAGTTAACATAACTTATTATGATTTTGTTAATTATTTATTTTAAATATTACATTATATAAATTGATACCTTAATCCATTCTTAATTATTAATAAAATATTAGATAATTAGTTAGATTACTCTTTTGATCTTTTTTATTTTCTTTTGAATTTGTTCTAGTTAATCCCTTAATTATTAAAATGCTTAATGTGCGATCTTCTAATTACCAAAATATATACAAGTTAACTCTTTCTTGTTTATTTTATCACTAACACAATGTAACCTAGTCCAATGAAAAATGGACATATGTTGCTACCACATAGGACTAAACTAACATTGAAAGTGGAAGAAAAAAAAATTCATATATTGTACATTTTAATAATAAAGCAACCAAATAAAAACACATATATATTTAGATACAATATACAAGAGAGTAAAGAATGGGAAACATACTTGTGCAAGAAACCAAGTTGTGTATGAGAGGCAACCGCAAAGCAAAAATATAGTGCCCCTAAGCTTGTGAGTTTCATGTGCCCCAGCAGCCTCATGAACATGATGACTATGGTGATGACCAATATAAAATTCTTTCCCTTTGTAAATACTGGAAGTTAATGCTCCCATAACACACAATATTGCCCCTCCTAACTTGGTTCTACCAGTCCAAGTGTGCAAACTCAATTTCTCCATTCTGCATTCATTCATCAACTAATGTTGGTTATGCAATAATGCTAGGAAGATCGGCATATTTAGTTATATAGGTTGCAATTTTTAGATACCTGGATATGATAGAGGTAAAGAAGGTGAATACAGGAATTAAGTTGAGGAAATTGGCGGAATAAGTAGCTGAAGTGTCTCGTAGACCATAATAATAGAATCCTTGAGCTAGAGTCATCCTGAGTATTTGATGCCATCATTTTGAAAAACATAATGACGATAGGGATAAGAAAAAGTGGAATCTTAAATAGGAATTTATAGTTTCACTTGTTTAAAATTTAGTCAAATTTGATCTATTTAATGAAAAAAGTTAAATTTAAACCTTGAAAAAATTTATTTATTTAAAAATATTATACTTATTATTTAGATTTATAGACTAATCTATTTATTTATATAATATAATACATATATTATTAATAATATAAATAAATTTATAATAAAAAATAAATTATCAATATTATTAAAAATTAAATAATATTCAAGTTAAAGAATTACTTAAACTAATAAAAATTATATATAAAAAAATAATAAGTCAAATTTATTCCTTAATTGTATAAAATAGATTAAATTTATATATTCAAAACTTGTCTTAACCTAAACTTACCTACTCATATCATTAATGACATGACATTAATTATTATAAATATGCATCGTATAGAACTCGTAAAAGTTATGGTGAAATGGTTAAAAGGAACATAGCACATGTGTTTATATGGTTTAAACATTTCAAGATATATTACAATTATAATTTCATGTAATTCACGCCATCTTTTTTTACTCAGTAATTCATGCTATTTATTAAGTATATATAAAACAATACTATTTGATTATTGAATGTAAAATGAAGACCAAGTAGTTACCTCATATAAAGTTTTTCATGCTAATTGTATTCATTTGTAAGGTGGTTTGGGGGAGAGGGTTTATTCGGTGTGTGGTTGGCTTCATCTTGGCTTATCTTATAATAATTGTTTGTAATTTTATATAAGATTTCAATTTATATTATTATATAGATTAATTATTTTTAAACTAAAATACTTTAAATTAAAATATATTTTCTTAATTTGATTAAATATAATAATTATAATTTTTTTAACAAACATACATTCTAATTGATTAGGAGAGAAAATAATATTAATTAGGAGAGAATGATACAAGACATGTATCTTAATTAGTTAAAAAAAAGATAATTATTAATTAGGAGAGATAAATAGTGTAAATATAATTTTTAAAAAATTATAAAAATAAGACAAATTTATTATTATCATATATATTAACTACTTTTCTTAATCTTGATAAATTAAGTATTTGAATCTTATATATAAAAATAGAATAAATATATAATTATAAGTACATGAATAATATCAAATGAAATTTTTTTATGTAAAATATTTTTTTACTTTAAGACATTTTTAGTTAGTAATGGATTTATTTGTTTAATTTTCTTTTCCAATAAAACACTTCCTTTTAAGAAAATAAGTAGTTTTTTTTTCTTACTTTTTTAAGAAGTAACTTCTATTTACTACTTAAAAAATGTTTTCTTAAAATACTTATTTAAAAAACACTTTTTTAAAAGTTTAAATAAACAAACCCCATCGATGAATGTATATTTAGAGGAGAGTTTGATTTTAAGGAAGTAAAGAATGCATATACCCCATCAATGCGTTAACGAAGAGCCAGAACCAAACCTTCAGACTGAAGTCCATTTTGCGTCCTCTGCATTCGCAACCCAAATCATTAGCAAGAGAGGACATACAGTCAAAAGAGTAATTCAAAGAATAAATTGTTTTAGTTCATGAGTTTATGATATTAAATCATTTTTATTTTTATTTGTGGTTTGTTAACACGAGTCTTTAAAGTTAGTTTTAAGCAACTAATGAAAAAAAAAATTATTAGAAAAAAGAATAATAATTAAATTAAAATCTCTAAAATATATCTAATAGAATAATTTTTTAATTTCCTAAAATCATCTTAAAGCTAATGTTAGAAAAAATATATTTTTAATTAATTTGTTTATAAATTATTAGAAGGATTAACTTGAGAATGTAACATCAAAGATAATTTGATCCATTTTATTGAGTTTTTCTTCTTTTAAAATGAGACTTTGATTTATACACATTATTTTAAGGGAAAATAGTATATCTACAAACACATTACATAGTCATCCAATGTCATATTTAATATGTTTATATTTATTATTTTTAAAAGGAAACTACTTACAAGTCATACATATTATGATTTGTGATTGGTTAACAATATAAAAAATGTTATATTTTAGTGCATAACCACTAAATTCTTATACTTTTTGAAAAATTTAAAAATTAAGAATATATTTCGATAAACTTCTATAGAAATATTTATAGAATAAAAAAATAGAAAGAAATATGTACGGACTAACTTATGAGAAAGTTAGTATGAGAAATAAAATAAAATTAGTTTATACATACATTAAAAAATTCAGTAAAAGCTAGTATGAGAAAGTTTTTTTTACTGATTAACTTATACTTAAACAAATTTTAATTTATAGAGAAATTTATTTCAATTTTTTTTCTATAAGTGTTTAAAGAGAAGTTTATCTAAAATAATACCTTAAAAATAACTTATTCTTTTTAAGAGGAAAAAAAATAAGTACTTTGTTAAAAATTTTAAATAAAACAGCTTTTAAAAATTGAAACTTCTTGCATATTTTGTTCTAATGGGTAAAACATTATTGACATAATTTGATAACATGTTTACAAAGCTTTGAAGTCTTACAATGATGTAGATTGCGACCACAAATTAATCATATGCTTTGTTGAACTGTGAATCAATTAAAGATATATTTTTTTAAATTAAATGGAATATTGTTGAAGGATCAATTTTAACTTTTTTTCATGACTATGTGGAGTAGTTGACGAAGAAGGAATGAAATGGTTCGAAATGCAAAACATGAGCAAGCGGATTCAATGCTTGATAGATCAAAATTTGCTCTTATAGATCGGTTAGATGCTAACAAATTAAATGTTGAATGTTGATGAACAACAAGCAGATCTTGTATAGATTATAGAACCTCCCTTTAATGTCTGGATTCCTTCTCGAATATGCAAATTGAAATTCAATTGTGGTACAACTTTTTATTATTATTATTATTAAAAAGGCACCATAGGAATTGAAGCATGTTTAAGGAATGAAAGAGGTGAGTTTTTACGAACAAGAACTACCTTTATCAAAGTCAATATGTCAATAAAAAAGGATAAAACAAATATTATATTTTATACTCTTAATTGACTTTACAATCAATATAATTATTGAACCAGATTGCAAATTGATTGTGAATTTTATTCATCATAATGAGAAAAATATTTCTATGAATGACATAATTTTTAATCAAATTAGATAAATTATAAGATATTCTCCTTCTATTATTAAAGAGAAAGTAAATGTTGCTAACTTATTCTTTAGTTAAAAATTCTATTCTGTTTAATTATGAGAATATTCATAACAAAACTCTTCTTGTATGATATTATTTTAATGAAAAAAATCTAATTCCACAATCTCCCTTTTAATTTTCACACTATCTTTCTCTTGCAAACTTCTCTCCTCCCGCAAATCCTCTCTAAAGAAAAGAGAAAATGAAGAATTGAGGAGTTGAAGAAGAGGAAGAAACAATGTAAGAGAGAAATAGAGAGAATATTGTAGAGTATTCTCGTTCCCATTTTCTTGTCTCCTTTGGACTCTCATCCCTCTCTTCTTACTTTCGTTGTCCTTCTCTTGGCACTCCCCCCTCACCCCTTTCTTTTTCTCTCTAATAATCTTTTGTAAATTTTTTAAAAATGTTAAATAATTTCTATTTATTTTTAGAGTTTATGAACTATAGTTTTAAAATAACTTTTAAATTAAAACAAAAAAATAGGCCAAACATAAAGTAGAAAATAATCAATTTCAGATGCATGAGATGAGTATTATATTACATATATGTATATTAATTTTAAATAAAAGCGAAGCATGAAATAATAAAAAGAATATAAAAAAAAAACTTACCTTTCAAAGTAGATTGCAAAGGGGAGAATACAAATGGCAGCAACAATATGGCGATATGAAACGATAGCAAAGATGAAAGAGCCTTTAACTAGTATGGCCTTTGATAATAGCTGCATCCCACTAATAAAAACTTGCACTAATATCATGCTCCATAGAACTTTCGATGATGAGAGCCATTGTTTCAAAGTTCTCCTAATCTTCTCCATTTCTCTATGCGTTCCACTCATTTTTACCATCTACCAAGGAAAAGAAAGAAACAAGCGCATTATAACAAGGTGGAAGATACAAATATACTTAACAAAGATGTGTAGGTATATGTGAAGTTATAACACTAGTGAAACTCCAAAATTAAGTGCTAATGAAAACTTATAAAGTAAATGAAATATGGTGACACATGCGACGCATTAGGGCAAAACTATTATGTTAGGAAACTCTCAGTTTCAACTTGCCAATGATTTCTCCCATGTTGCCACTGTAACATGTACTGTATGCCATTTGTGATATCATATTATAATAATAGTAATAATTTAATTTGGGTTTTTGGGACATTTTGTGAGGTAATGGATGGTTGGTGTCGTGTTGTCATGCAACCTAGATAATATCTTCTATATAAGAAAGTGTCAATATTTGAGCAAATTTCTTCAAAGAAAAGTCATGTGTGTGTAAACCATGGTAAATTAAAAAAGATAGAAAACTACAACCTGTATTCAAATATATGGCCAAAAGTGTTGATATCAAGGAATTAAAGTTATTTGGATTTATTTTCTTTTTCTTTTTGGCATTTTGTGGGTACTCTCTTCATTCATAGATAACTTCTATTTTAGATCTATGGCGACATGACAACTTCATGTTGAAATAACAAAAATGATATGCTTAATCTCATGAATTTTTTTTAGCCTATTGCAAACAATTGGTGTGGAATTCGTAAACATCATTTCATACTAATTAAATTAACTAGGTTCTTCAGTAGTTATTTGAATGAAATATTAGCTTACTCAGTGTGGGGTTTGAGAATCGTTAAGATTTATTTGGATAAATTTCTTTAAAAATGTTTCTAACAGAAAAATTGAAATAAACTTTTTTATAAGTTAAAATTAATTTTGTATAAGTTATAAAATAAGATCTTGAAGAAATTAATAGGAAAGTTTCTATAAATTAACTTACAGAAAAACTTATTTAACCTTTTCTTATAATTTTTTTTCTCCTAGAAATGATTTTATATATAAAAGTTTTACCCTATTGATCTTTAAATTATTTTAATTCTATTTCTTTTATTGTTGTTGATATCTCTTGTATACCTTTTGAAGATTTTATTAAAGTAACATGTGAAGAAATCTCTCCAATTATTGGCATCACACATTTTGTACTCTGAAATTGAAATTTACCAAATTCCTATAGCACATTTTGGTATCATCTTAAAAAATGATTTTGAACCTATTTCAATCTTAGAAAACTAATTTGTAATGTGAAGATTATTTTATACTTATATATACTCTATTTTAGTCACTAGTTGATGAATGCAAAATCTTCAAACAAAACAAAATTGTAATGAAGTTATTGAAAATTTCACTTTTTAAAAATGTAATTCAACTTATAAAACTAATTTTATAAGATAAAGTGAAGTTATGTTTTAGAATATGTAAGTTATGTTTAATAAAATCAAATAAAAATTAGCATAACGAAGTTAAAACCCTTTGATTTTTGTTTTCTCAAGAAGTTTGTTCTCTCCCTGGGCAGAAAACTCTTTTCTTACTCGATGCATGGGCATTCATGAGAACAGAAGGATATATATTTTTTCTTTTCAGAATCCTATTTACTGACACCCACGTACGTGAGTTTTAACTGGATCGGATAACAAACCCCAAGACTTTTCAGTATAATCTTAATTTGTTTTTCATGAAATTTGTTCTCTCTCTCTCTCCCTTGTCATTTTCAAATTCATTCAACTATTAACTCATTACCAAAACCCTTGATTTCTAAGGGTACCATATAACAACTCTCCTTGTAATTAATTTCCTTTTTTAAAGTTCTTATCTAGCATGTGCGGGATAATTAGATTTATAGTTAGTTTAAGAAGAAAAAAAAAAGGAAGTAAAAACTGCATGTTAATTATGAAATCGATGAAAACGACAATCTGTGAGGAAAAAAAGAAAAGAAAAGAAAAGAAAAAGCAAATCTAGAGAACGTAAAAAACAATACATGCAAAATGTCAAACTTGACATGGAGAGTTTTTCATTTTGCAATTATAAAGATAATTATTTGGTTGATTTTCCTCCATTTTCGTTATGTGCTTGTAAATAAAATAAACTTTGTATATTAATGAACAACATATTACAATACATGAATTGATCATAGGGAGAGATATACCTTTTCTGCCGCACTTAATTAGAACTTTCAGAGAGCTTAAAAACTGAATAATACGTTGACTCTGTTATGATGACCAATTGCTTTGGATATGCTTTTGATATCAAATTAACAAATCTATGTAGCTCCAAGGTTTATAGGACCCTTCTCAAAATGTTAAATAAAGGAATTCCTCAGCAGTTTATGCTTACAACAATTAATGTAAGGAAAAAATATTGAAGCACGCCTGCAAAACTTTCCATCACAGGTATGATGATATATAAAAGTTTTGAATATATATATAAATAGAATATGAGTTGTTTTTTTTTATTTTAAATTCAAATAATAAAATTCTACCAGATCAAAATATATTAGTTCCACTTAACTTCTGTTAAAAATAACTAGGTCGGCCAGCAGGGACGGAACTAAAAATTTATTTTAAGGGAGCAAAAATTTAGTACATGGATAACGATGATCTATAACCAAGAATAATTTTTTTTACACATATATTAGAAGTAATTTAAATTATAACTAAAAAAGAAGAAATTTAAAATCTAACATATAGAGCAAGTTTTTTTATAATTAAAATAAAAGGTGTTTTTTCCTTAAAAAAGTAATTTTTAGGAGAAATAAATAGAATTTGTTTCTTAAAAAATAGAAATTGCTTTTTATAATTTTAAAAAATAGTTTAAACATATTTGAAATTTTAGATAATCATAAATAAATTACCATATACTCCCTCCGCTTTTATTTCATAGTCATTTTGTCAGAATTTGTTATTTTTTTTATTGTCATTTTACTAAAATCAATGATTTATTAATTTTTTTTCATTTTTACCCTTGATAATTAATGTATGCTTACTGAACAATGTGTCTATTTATTTCTAATGTTTACTTATTTTTTCTTCAACCACCTATGTAATAATGGAGTAGGTTACTGTTCACATATGTATTTTAATAATTAATACATTAATTTATGGACATGTGTGATTAAATGGAGTAGGTTACAGTTCACATGTATATGCTAATAATCAATGCATTAATTCATGTACACAAATCAACAGTCTCTTGACTTAAATGAAAATAAAATAAAATAAAGGGTATAACAGAAAAGTAAGTAATAAATATTTAAAAATTAAAATATCAATTATTTTCTTAAGTCCCGTACAAAACCTTAAACGACTATGAAAAAAAATGGAAGGAGTAAATACAAACCATGTTAAATTATCAATGTTTTTAGTCTCTATAAAATCACTCAAACACCCAATTTGATAAAAATGAGAACCCAACTTACCAACACTTTACAACCGATGAGTTTGTAGCAAAACCTATCAACACATGATATAACCTTGGCACCTCCCTTTGTGGCTATGAATGAAGAAGAAATGGTTCATTGACTCACGAGCGATTCCCACAAAGGCTTCCCACACTCTTCTATGGTGTAAGTTGAACTCTCACCAAGGTTGGCTAGCTGAATCAACCACTCATTCGAAGACGCAAGACCTTTCCTTTTATGAGCAACATCAATATAGGGCACCCATCATCCACCACCACCATTAGTCATCTTTATCTCCTCAGCGGTAACCTTCCTCTCGGCCTCCCACATGTTTACCCCCACATGCCCAATTTCCACAATTGTTGCAACCTCATCGCCCCACTTTTGGCCTTTTCGTAAGAGGGGACTTCGTTCTCTGCAACTGTGTTGGTCTTCTTTGGTGATTGAGATGTGGGATGAGCAGTGGTTCTTGGAACACAATCGTTTTTCCACTTCCTTGCCATGGGAGGCACTATTGGTTCCTCCTTAACTGACGTAACCACAATCGTTAGTCAATGGACCTTTTGGGGCCTCTACTCGTTGTGCGGAAGAACATATGCACAAAGTTTTGATGATGCTAAAATATTATAAAAAATAAAATGTTAAGTTAAAGTAAGTTGATCAAGAAACAAATTTTACTTAGTCTAATATGTAAAAAGAACTTTTAGAAATTGCAAATTTTACTTGGCCATTAAAACTATAATTTCAAGAAAACCTCAAATAATCTTTTTGAATATAAGAGTAAGTTTTTATATCTTTTTGAAAAAAAAGTAAAAAGAATGTTCAAAAATATTTTACAAAAATATTTTTGACTAAAAATTAGAAATTTCCTATATAATCAAAAGTTTGTGTAACAAATATAGTAATATTTGTTTGGTAATTGATTATCAGCTTAAGTAATCGATTACCAGAGCAAGAAAACTTCAAAGTTCAAATTTTAAATACAAAAATGTGTTCTGGTAATCGATTATCAGACCTTGTAATCAATTACTATAAGAGGAAATTTTAAAATTTGAATTTAAAGATACAACGTTTAAATTATTTTGAACTTATAACCGTTGTAATCGATTACCAAACCCTTGTAATCGATTACCCGTGTATCTTTTCTAAAAAATTATCAAGAGTTACAACTTTTCAGAGAAGATACAACCAAAGGGATACTTCTCTATAAATACCTATATTTTTCAGAAGAAGATGACGAACTCTATTGTGAAAAAGCTATTTACCAAACTACTTGGCCAAATACATTTGCATGATTATCTAAAGAGTTCATTAAGATCTTCAAAGTGTAATATCTACTCTTCAAAGAGAATTATTCTGCTTTACCCACTTGATCATTTGATTTGTAAAGGAGAAAGAATTTTTCTCCTTGTTGGTTTTTGAATCTCAACACAAGGAAAGGGAGTTCCAAGGTGTTGGAGGATTCAAGTCTTGTAAGAATTATAAGAATAGTGGAAATCTCAAGTTAGAGACTTGAGGACTGGACGTAGGCAGGATTGGCCAAACCAGTAAAACAAGTTTGCAATTCTTCTTTTCCTACACCTTTAATTACTTATTATTTAATTGTGTTTGAGTAGTTCTGCATCATTAATATTTACATACAATTTGTCAAAGAAATTGAATTTATGAGAAAGCATTTCTAAGATCTCAAAAAGTAGGCAAAATTGGTTAACTTAATTCACCCCCGCCTCCCTCTTAAGTTATACGAGGCTATTTGACTAACACGTTGTTATCAACTTTAAATTTGATTTTCAATTACTTCCACATACTCGTTCCCAAAAAAACCTACACCAAATCCAACATTGTATCAATACATAACACGATAAACTACTCTAACCAAAGAAAAGAGGTAAAACACCTAAGTTAAACCACACTCACCCTTTAAAGCTCAATCAAGATTAACAATGTTTAGTAATGCAAGCACAATCTTCACATCCAAAGGACAAGACAACTTCACCAACTCATTACACCTGCTTATTTCGACCTTTGTAATCCCCATCATTCCCTCACCCGAAATCCAGCCCATAGGTAGACTCGCCTTCATCTAGTAAAAGAACATGAACTTGGACAAGGTTGACTCCATCCACACATAAGTACACAACACTTGGAAGGTTCAAAGGAACATCCAACTTTTTAGATGAAGTTGACTTGGGGCAACATTCACCCTTCTCAAAAACTCACATTTAAGAGTACCAAAAGGTAAAATGACCCCAATATCTTGAACGACACAACAATACATGTACATAAACAGGTGAGGGTACATCTCCTCGCCCAAATATACCTGATTGTCCTTTACGTAGGGGAAAATCGCAAACAAATTAGAATTAAAAGGCAGAAGCAAGGCATAATTGTCAAATAGTACCACCACCTCCTCTATATGTAACCAGCTTTATACCAATCTACTTCAGCCATAACCCTCCCTGTCCAAAGGGCCTTTATCCTTATCCTTGCTTGATTCCTCCGATAAAAACTCTACAACTTCTTCAACCTTAACAAAGATGGGCTTTACCATCACCACCTACTAAACCATGCCAACAATAATCACTCATGCACCACCCACACTAGATATTCCCTCACAGATAAAGTAGGAACATTCTTCTCAGACAACCTCATCGCAACATCGAAAAATTTGTTATCTTTAAAAGACAATCTCAAATGCCTCTTCCCCATTCAAACACACACGAATGCAACATGAGCCAAAAAAACTAAAAAGCAACAAAGGGAAAGAAGCATACCTAAAGTGTTAATAAAGTGGAATGAAGGTATGAAATTAGAACAACAACCTCGAACTCAACAACGAGCGAAAACAATGAGCAAACATAAGATGAAGTACAACAAAGCAAGAAATGAACAACCCCTTAAAACCACTCTTGAAACAAAAGGCATAATTTTTAGCCTTTTTGTCTCCTAATTAATTGACCACGTTCAAACTCAAGATGCAACAAATGACCCAAATATAACCACTAGAAAAAAAATCATTAAAGCATGCAGGAAAATTATCAAAAGTGTGCACCATATGCCAACGACTCCATCACTCAATCAACAAAAAAAACAACAACAAAGGCAAGCACACTAATAATTCTTTCACTCTTGGGAAGCTCATAATTGAGGAGGCTAATGTACCTCCCATCTTGGATGGATCAAGTTGAGCTCATACTAGATGAGTAGCCTCATCAACTTCTCATATTAAATCTAGAAGATAACTTGGGCAACAGTGAATGGATAATTCCCACACTATATCTCCAATAATCCCAAAATACACAATACACCAAAGAGCATCATATCAAGGCCGGATAATATCTTCGCCTATCAACACCCCATATAATCATAGGAATATATCCTCAATATATCATGCCAAATTATCTTTGAATCCATAGACATGATTAACCATCTATATATGGAGAATCTGTAACACCCAAATTTTTATTATTATTATTTTTTAATGGCATTTTCGTAATTTTAATAAAGTTATAGGGGTATTTTGGGTTTCGGAACGGGCCGTTCCAAAAGTGGAACGGGTTGTTCCAAATGTTGAAAATGTGAGGTTTTTGTAGTCCCAGAACGGCCTTGGAACGGGCCGTTCCGGTATGGAGAACGGGCCGTTCCGGAAGGCCTGTCCTGTATGGAGAGCGGGCCGTTCCGGAAGGAGAACGGGCCGTTCTGCTGAGATTGAGAACGGGCCGTTCTGGTTTCAGAACGGGCCGTCCTGGTTTTTGGGAACGGGCCGTTTCGATTTTGGAACGGGCCGT